GCTCTGTGAGATCCAAAAGTCTGAGAAGTAACCACTGCTCTATGTAATTATATTGAAGAGAGTTGAAATATATTAAAAAGTTAGAGTTGAGGTTATATCAGAGGGAAGCCCTAAGCATATCAAAGCAGGAGGGAATGGATATGGCCCTGCCCAAGCTGAAGTCAGCCAAAGAGGGATAATCATCAGCCCTTTGGGACCCTGAAGAGTTCAGCTGAATTAAAATATCCTATGGATTGGGCAGGGGAATGGAAGCTCTGTGACAAAAAATATATATATATTCAAAATTAGCTGGGTGTTGCCTACAGCAAAAAGCAGGCAGCAAGAAGAAAGGACGTATTCTCCGAGGGAGAAGGCTGGCAGGACAAGGCAGTATCGAGGCCAAAGCCCAGCTGCAAATTCAGATCCCATGAAGGAAGACTGAGGATGAACCAATTCATTCATCCTGGGCCCAAATTACAGAAAGCTGCAAGGCTGTATCTTGGTTTGTCCCAGGCATGCTGGATATGAAGGTCCAAGCCAACAAGACTAATTTCAGAGACCACCTGATGGTTGCAATGAGCAGGGCTGAGGCTCTACTTCCATCTCCATCCAGGTGTGGGAAGGGCTGGTAGTAGGCCAAAATGCACATGGGCTTTGGAGCTAGAGAGTGGGTTCAAAACCCAGCTCTATCACAACCCGGCCATATAACCTTGGGCACAGGTGTGTTTATGTGCGTGTATTTCAATTATCTAGACAATTTCTCATGCCATTTCTGCCTCGAACTAACTTTCTAATCTGGGATAACTCATTTTTACCTCTCTGGTTTCAGTTTTCTTAACATTTGAAGGACCAGGATGAAATAATATACATGAACCCTCCTAGCTAGAACATTTTTTTTTTTTATCCTAATGCCCTTAAATCCTTACAGAAAAGTGGTATAGCATAGACAGAAGTTCTGGTCCTGCCTCTGTAACACCAGCTTCTTAAACTGACCCAAGATTTCACCCTTGTGTCCTCAAGATTTTATATCTAGATATTAGATAGAAGACCTGCATTTTGGGGCCATAGTTACAATTACATAAGAAAATCTATGTAAAAACAAACAGAAAAGAACAAACAAGCAAACAAACAAAAAAAGGTTCTTTCTTGGCCCATGAAAGGTGCTGAATGATTTTTTTTTTTTTAGATAAAGTCTGTGAGTTCTCTTATTGTAGTAAAATAAAGTCTTTACAACCCACAGTGGAGTAAAGGAATATTGGCACTAACTTTTAATGGTCCCAGATAGTTTAAATTGTCAAGATTTTTTATCTGATTTTTATAGTTTCATTTGTTTCCCCTAGAGCATTCAGCTATTACTTCTTAATACCTTGGTGTGTTTACTCATAGTATGCCCTCTGCTCTTTATTGTTGCTTGTTTCTGTTTCACAATGGCCTTGGAAGAAGAAAATCAAGTTTGTAGAGTTGTATATATACTAAGAATCAATACAGTCTGATTCTCCTGTGAATAAAATGTTGGGCTGTGTGTTGGCTTCATAAAAATTATTTTGTCACTACATTCTACCCAACAACAAAAGTCCAAAAATTGGAAACCATGCTAGATCTCTCCAACCCCCTCACTTACACGCCATGCCAAACTTTTGCACCAATCACCTGCCCTCTTCCCACTTCACACTCTGAAAAAGCCACCATTGTCAGTTCCACCCTGACCAAATTTTTTGACCCCCTGGTTTTTATCCCAGGTAGCAAAGAATGGTAAGAGTCAATGATCCTCCTGGAATCTTTAGAACTCAGCCCAATTCTATATAAACATCCAGGCCAGCAAGATGGTAGATTGTTTCTTTTGGAAACCATCTTTACAGTTTGTTTTCCTGTTACAGAAACATGTTGCTAAGAGATCTTTGGCTTGGCAAGACCCACTAAATTTTTGCTAGAAAATCCTGGCTTTGTCTCTCTGACCACTGTTATCAAAACCTCTCAGCCATCCTCAGAGGCTCCATTACCATCACCACCAAAGGAAACTATTCTACTTTTACACATTCTTGCAAAATCCATGGGGGCCCATGAGTATTTATGAAAGAAGAGTACAGTCTAGTAAGTTAAGTATCACACTTAGGTTTGGGCTCTCCAATCTTTATGCAAAGATTGCTTCTTTGCTATTCAGACCACACACAGGGCAGTTCAGTTACCTTATCCAAAGAAAATCAATGAAGATCAGAACATCAGAAACAGTATCACATGAGCAGCATTTAGGCGAACTACATTAAACTCAGAGAGGACTTCACATGGGGAAGTTGAGGCATGTAAAAGGGGTATTCAATTTTATCTACAGGGTACCCCAAGGTAGGACTGCATAAAATGTTTGAAGTTCACAGGGCAAAGATCAAAGCACAGAAAAACACAAATCCACCTAGTTATGCACAACAGAATGGTCATGCTCTGAAATGGAATGCCAATCACAGAAAAAGTTCAAGTAGAAGTTAGATGAACCATATGTCTGGTAGGTTCTAAGAAGGGTTCATGAGCTGAGACTTTTAAGGGCTTTTACTGTGAGATGCTGTGCTTCCATTGTAGTCTCAAGTCTTTTGAAAATGGTGTGCTGTGGCCTGTGGATTTCCTATCAGTACAATAACACAATGGTTTCCAAGTCCCTTTCAGCCAAAATTGTTTCAGTGAGCCAAGTGATCTATGATGTGCCTTGAGCTCCATGATGAAAGATGCAATATAAAAAAAAGGGTAATTTTAGTCATAATAAATAATGGTAATGATGATGAATGGTAGTGTCACTGAGAAGAAGCTGGCCTGCCATTAGGGAGTCCAAAACAACCAGCTGTGAGCTGAAAATGACTGTGTCCAGGCCAGGAGGATGCTCCGTGACTGAGACCACATTAACCTTTCAACCAAAGACCTGGACCAAGCCCCTGATTTGGAGGTGTGAGCAATTGTAATGGAAGAAACTACAGTACTTATCCCTGAGCTTGAATATTGCCTTGGGCTTAGGAGACATTTTCCCAGACAGGTCAATAGGGAGCATGTTCCCTTACTCTTCCAACAGAAGAGGAAACTGAGTAGGTCGGGGGAAGAGCCAGATTGCACACTAGAATTATGACTCTAAACCCAGTACGCTTTCCATCCTCTACCAGTCCCCTGACAATTCAATGGAAAGAGAAACTTCAGGAAAGAGCCAACTTGGACGAGAACATGCTGAAATGGGATCATGTTCCTCAAGATGGCTTGCATAGCTGTTTTCCATCCATTTAGGCTGATAGAGCTTGCTAATGAAATCCTGGGTGCCTCAAGCAGGGAGGAGTCACTCATTAATGTCCTAGACCTGTTCTCTGGAGCCAGTGTAACATATGGCAGGAGGCTGCTGAGTTCTGCTGGACCAGGAGGGAACACTGCTCTAGAGCCTTGTCCAGCTTGAGAGCTAAGAAGGCTAATTGCTTCCAGAGGCCTAATTAATGCTCCTAAATGAGGGACTTGGCCTCTTATTCCTCACATGCGCTTGAAGACCAACCAGTCGCCACAGGCAAAGACAAAGGACCCTACCTCTGCCCATCAAAAACCTCCACCAAAAACAAGAGAGTCTGGGAGTTACAAAACCAGGAAACTTGTTAGGAACACACGAATCCTTTACTTCTTTGCCTTTTTTATTTTTTTGGTATATTATACTGAAATTTTATTTTTAAAGTCTATAGCTTTGACTTGCTTGCATTTTGGCATAGTTTAACATATTTTATCATTTGGAATGTACTCTGATCCTCTTTTTATATTTTATCATGATTTTTTAACTGATCAGTATTCTTTTCTGTGCTTATCCTTTGAAGCTAGTCTATTCTCAGCTGCTTAACATGTTATTTCATTTTTTTCCTTAAGGAAATTAATTACTATTTTATCTTTCTTAAAATGGTCTCTTATTTAGTTGAAGCCATTTTAAATTTTATCTCTGTGAAATTTTTGTTTTCTTTTTTATATTTTTTAAATAACTCTCATTTTATCTCATTTCACCTTGTGATATTGCCCTATTTTCTCCATTTTCTAAACTTGTGCTTTGCTTCTCTAATAGTGACATTTTAAACTCTAAATTCTTTTCCATGTATAGCCTCTGAAATTATTTTTCTTTCAATTTTTTTTAACTTATCTTATGTTCTGTTTTTCCCATAGGACACCAGTGTCCATTCCCATAGTGAGAAGAATCCTCGATGACCATGGGAAGAAACCTTAGTCTGTTTCCACAGGGTTTGAGAATTTGTGAACGTTAATCCTGCCACCCCATCCACCAGCCATGTCACCTCGGGGACCCGCTCTGGTTTCTGCGCTTCAGCTGGCAAAATCTAAAAATGCCCACTTCTTCCAAAAGACCTCATCAGACCCTGGACTTCCTTCTTCCCACCATGTGTTCTGAAGGTGGCAGGAACGCAGTGAGGAGAAGCGCCGCCCCTTCTGTCTCTCCTTCAACCAACCATGACCCCCCGGCCATTCCACAGCCCCTTTCAATCCTGCCCGCCAGCCCATTTGGATATGGTGACGCCCTTCTTGGGGCTGTATCCAGAATCCAGTAAAATACAACTCAGAATAAAGATCCCCCTGCCATAAATATCAGTAAGGAAATAAAAGCACTGGTCTTAACTGTGGAGAAATCAGAATTTGAGTTCTGACTTTGCCACTAACCCACCATGTGCCCTGGGCAAATCCCTTGATTAGCATGGACACTAATTTTCTCCTTTAAAAAAAAAAAAGACTGTTACACCAGATTATTTCTAAGGACCCCTCTGGAGTTAACTGCCTATGAGTCTATGCCCTTCTATAAAACAACAACAGCAACAACAACAACAACAACAAAAACCTGACACAACCTCAATGTGTATGGAGAATGCGTTGTTATTTGTATCCACTAACAGAAGCCCAAGAGAATTTACTCCTGCCAGAGTAACAAGGCCTCTCCAACCACACCCACTGAGCGACACAATGCGTTACCATGGTGACACAAATGAGGACCCAGTTGGTCTGGGTGCCTGACATACTTGCCATTGATGACACCATCTGGATTGAGCATGGGGATGATCTTGAAAATGAAGTTTTCCCTCAGGAGTCTAGCCACGGGGTCACTGCTGACCAGGAACTCCAGGGCCCCCTTCATCACCCAGCTGGCATTACTCTCTCCCGGGTGCACTCGGGCAGTGATCACCTGGTATGGACGCTGCCCTGCCAAGACAGGAACATGAGAAAATTAAACCTAAATACACTTTCCATTTCCAGCAAGATAACCTCCCAGGGGCCAGAATTACACCTGACTGGCATAAAGTCCAAAATAGGTTGATTGTTTCCCATACATATCTGATCCACACTGATCCATTTTTCTATTTGCTTCTATAGTCTGCAAGACTCAAGAAAGTATAAAGTGAAAGCTCAAGGCTGTTATCAACAGCTAAGTACTTAGTGGTATGAAAAGAAGCCAAGAAGCCAATTATATCAAGACCACCAAAGGAACAATTAACTCTCCAGAATCCAATAGCATGATGCTGTATGTCACAGATCTGAAATTGAATCTTATCTTCATACTTAGCAGTTGTAAGATCTTAGGTAAATAATTTAATTTATGCAAGGCTAGTATCTCATCTGTAAAATGGGGACAATGATGCTGATCTTGTGTGGGTGTTATAAAAACAGAAAGATGTAAATAAGGCACTTGGCATATTACTTGCCATTCACTACATGTTAGTTTCTCCCATCTCAATGATGGTGTCTATGGGTAGGATGGCCCCCTCTCATTCCCCAGTAGAAATGGGATTCAAGGGCAGAACTTGTGCTGGGAACTTTATGTCTGTAGGACACTGAACTCCAACAATGAGAAAGACTTGACAAGAGTGAAGCACCTAGAATCTCAATCATGCAAAAAGAATCAGGAAAACACTCTCTGCCCAACCATAGGGAGCATATTGATCTGAAGAGACCTTATGGAGAATGCATTGATGAGAGAAAGATGGGCTTGTCTTCCTTCCTTGTTGAGAGAAAACATCTGGGCCATTGTAATGTTGAGATGTACTCTAAGACCACATCCTGGCTCAGGTGAAAAGTGTGTTTTGATTGATTAATGGTGTCTGCCCCACCCCCATACGCTTGGGAAAGGAGGGCTGAAGATGTGGCCTCATACCAGAAGTTCACCACATCTGCTCTAACCCCTTGTCCGATTGTGTGTGTGTGTGTGTTTTCTGACTCTCTTTTCCTTTTGTATCCTCACCCAATTCCTTAAAGCTCCTAAACCCACCTGAATGACAAGAACTAAGCGTTTGCCAAGTATAAATACCCCAGCCACCAAGCAGCCTAAAAGTTAAACTAGTCATTTCTTTCCATCTCATTCAAATCACTGCCAGCTAAATACAGCTTTTCTTCCCTTAAATAGTAGCCTTTTTGAGGGAACAAACTGTGTCTCGGATTCTGTGCAAAGAAATACAAAATTGAGGGGCACCTGGGTGTCTCAGTCGGTTAAGCGGTTAAGGGTCCTGGGATCAAGCCCCAAGTCAGGCTCCCTGCTCAGCGGGGAGCCTGCTTCTCCCTCTCCCGCTGCTATTCCCCCTGCTTGAACTCTGTGTTAAATAAATAAATAAAATCTTAAAAAAAAGGAAATACAAAATTGATTAACTTTCAATAACAGAGCTAAAGAACAGGTAATAGTGAATATTATCATTCATTTAGACAAAAAAAAAAAAAAACACTATCTGTTGACAACCACTGAGATCTCAGTTTGAGGAGCAGAGATCGGTACCTTTTTACTGACTATGGTGAGAGCAGATCACATCAGCCCCTTATAGATCATTTATATATTGGAGATAATATTTGGTTGTTTTTCTCTAAGCAGGTGTCTTGAGCATATTCCAGAAACTGCAGGAGCCATGGGATATGAAAGTTGAATAGATTATAGTCCTTGTTCTGTAAGAGGCCATAGCCTTTGCCAGTAGTGACAAACGCAAGCAAATACTGGCAAGTGAGCTAATGGAAGTGTATGTAAAGTACCAAAGACAGATATGACTGAGAGAGGGAAGGATGTTTCCAGAGCTGTGATGCTTTTTGGGCTGAGTCTTGCAGAATGAGTCTCATCCTATGGGGGAGAAGTGAGAAAGCGTCTTCTAAGCAAAGAATAAGACACATGCAAAGAACAAAAAGGAGTAAAAATTGGAACATTGAAGAATAAAGGAAACCACAAGTGGCTGAAACAAAGGACTGAGGATGGTGACACATGGATTTAGAAAAGTAGGCTGGTGTCAAACTAGTAAGGTCTTCCTGACATATTTTGTTTAGGGATTTGGACTTTATTCTACAGATCAGAAGTTCTCAACCACCCAGTCAGTGTCTCACAGGTATGCTATGGTCATTGATGGTGCCTACTGAAGAATCACTGGTTACCAATAAAAGTGTAAATGTTTGCTTATGATATTGTATATGTAATATATATGTATACATACACTATGCACACACACATGGCACAAACTGCTGGTTTTCTGTCCAGTAGCCTTTCTTCTTTTCTTTCTGATGATGAGACCCAATTCTGGGGGTGAAAGAATGTGCCCAGATTCAAACAGCCAGATGCATGGATCCTCTTGTAGGGAAGAGTGGCCATGTGATCAAGCTGTGGCCAATGAGATGTAAATGGTAGCAGGAGGTAAATCTTTCTAGCAAACTAATTGAAGAAGACAGTTTCACCTGGCAAATTTGTCTTAGTCTTTGCCTCTTTTCCTTGCCCTTCTTCTTCCTCTTGCATTGAACACAGATACAATACTTTCAGGTGAGGAAGTCAACTTGAGAACCAAAGTCACATGCTAAAGATGGTGACCATAAAGATGGGAAGAACCTGGGTTCTTGATATATTCCTTAAGAAGCTACCCTACACCTTCATGAGCTTCTTCAGTGCTTCTGGATATCTGAGACCAATAAACCACTCTCTGGCCAGGCAAATGTAATCACAGTTCTGTTACAACTGGTTAAATTCTAGTCTAACTTATTATATAAGATCAGATTTGAAATCATCCTGATAATATTACTTTGGTTTTTTGGGTGTTACTTTGGTTTTGGATTTTTTTTTTAAAGATGTTATGTATTTATTTGAGAGAGAGAGAGAAAGCACAAGCTGGGGAAGGGACAGAGGGATAAGCAGACTCCCCGCTGAGCAGGGAGCCTGATGTAGGGCTTGATCCCAGGACCCTGAGATCATGACCTTAGCCAAATTCAGATGTTCAGCTGACTGAGTCACCCATGTGCCCCTAATAATGTTACTTTGAATGGAATGCAGTCTCATGTGCTTTCTGGATTTGGGAGGAGAGAGTGAAAGAGAGTCTTCATGAGACTATTTGATACGCATGTCCCAGAAAGGAACAGCTGAGAGCCACTGTTTTAAGTAGAGAGTCCAGGGGCACCTGGGTGGCTCAGTTGGTTAGGCATCCAACTCTTGGTTTCAGTTCAGGTCATGATCTCAGGGTCGTGAGATCGAGCCCAGAACTGGTCTTGGCATGGAGTCTACTTGAGATTCTCTCCGTCTCCCTCGGCCCCTCCCCCAATTCATGGGTACACTCTCTCTTTCTATCTCTAAGAAATAGAGAGTCCATGATGGTTTTTCAGCAGGAGAAAGACATGCCAAAGCCTATGCTTCATAAAATCATTTTGACATTATTGTAGATCATGCATTTGCTAAATCAGAGACAGTATGGCCTGTTGAGTAAAGAACAACTTTTCGGAGCCGTATTTCCAGAGTTCACATTCCAGCCCCACCATTTTCTACAGAATGAGTTATGGAAGTTTCTGATGAAATTAAGTATTGGATTGGGTATCCTGCAGGTAAGACTAATGATTTCCTAACTGGAGCTTACTAAATAAACATACTGAGGAGGAAAAGAGATATACAGTTAGCTAGCTGAGCAGAGCTGAACCTAACTGAAGGCCAACTTGCCCCTCCATCATTTGCTCACAATTACATCTCACTCTTTCCAAAGCAAGTCATATTGGCACTCCAATAAAAAGCTTGTTGAGAAAGAGGCTCGATGAATTTGTACTCAATCAGCAGACTATTTTCAGTTCTATAATTCCATACCACTCTCTTTGTGGTCTTTGAACTAAGTTCATTTACGGCATATGGAACAACAATAGTAAGTACTCCCAGCCTAGCAAGAAGAAATAAAAAATAGCTTAAGCTCTTGTAAATTTCCAATACCAACTGAACACCCTCATTGTCTGGGCCAGTTGGCTCCCACCGCCTGTTACCCAGTACAGTTCAGTGCATTAGTCATTAAGCAAATGCAGCCCTTGCAAAGAGATGTCCAAGGTGTTCCTTCCCTTCCAAGAATCAGGTTGATAACCTGCTATATTGTAATACACCACAAGACCTAACAGGCTGTTCTGAGCATCCTGATGAAGCAAACAGGGAAAACTGTGGGTTCTCATGAAGACATAAGCAGCATGTTAGCCATTTCTAGTTGATTCTTCTTTTTCCTCTGTGATTTAAGACAATTTTACAGTTGTATTGGTGAGTTAAACTTGTGAGACCATTCAGCTGCAGCAGCAAATGGTGCTCCAGAGAACCCATAATAGACAACAGCTGTAAATACTATGCGACACATATACCATGTGTTTTTTTTTTTCTTGTTATTGACAATTTCAGTTTTAAAAACTCATTTCTGCTTAGGGTAGGGCAAAGAGTATCAGGTATCTGCATTTTTTTTCCTCTGTAATTTATAAAATCTATTCTGGAGGTCACCAAAATCTATGGGGGAGTCATGGTTTGGCAATATGCTAATTCTTAAAACTCGGTCTTGAATTTATGTCAGTGGTAATAACATCTGTAAAAAGAGGTTAGAAATAAGTAGGGGATTATATGAGGCTCACGGCCAATGAAAACCTGAGTAAGAACTGAAGACATATGTAATGATACACGTGTGTACCCAGCTATATAAACACCCATCCAGTTTTTCCTTTTTTCTTCTAACAATATATATTGAACTCCTACTGGCACTCTGGAAGGTTCTGGAGATTCCAAGGGTAATAGTGGTTTTTGCCCTCAGGGAACTAATAATAGTCTGGTGGGAAAGACAGGCACACTGATAATTATGATCCAGTGTGATCAGGGACATTTGTCAAGACATTTTCAAAGCATAGTGGAATGCTCATTACAACATTATTTATAATGATGTGATCAACTGGAAGTGACTTAAATGTGC